TCATTGCTTGTCATTTATCTTTTTAGATGTTTTATATCCTCTTTGTTCAGTTTTGGTAGGTCATGTGTCTAAAAATTTATTCATATCTTCTACAGTCTCCAATTTATTAAACTATCAATTTTGAAAGTAGTCCCCAGTAATCTTCTGGATTTCAATGGTATCTTCTGCAACACTCCCCTTTTCATTTTCACTGTATTGATCTGAGTCTTCTCTGTCTTCTCATTGGTTAGTTTAGCTAAGGGTTTATCCATCTCATTTATCTTTTCAATAAACCTACTCTTTGTTTCATTGTTCTTGTGAATTGTTCTTTTAGTCTTTGTCTTATTCATTCCAGTTCTAATCTTTACTATTTATTTTCTTCTGCTGGGTTTGGTTTTAGTTTATTCTCCATTTTTCTAGACCTTGAGATGCATCATTAATTTATTTATTTTAGATCTCTCTGATTTTTTTATATAGGCACTCCCAGCTTTAAACTACCCTTTTAGAATTGCTTTTGATGTATCCCAGAGATTCTAATATTTCCATTGCATTTTCATTTAGGACTCCACTAGCATAGGAAATAATAGCAAGAATCAACAAATACAAAAGTTTCTGCACAGCAAGGGAAATAATTCAAACAGTAAAAAAAAACCCAAAAAAACCTACAGAATGGAAGAAAATCTTTGCTGAAAGAGGATTAATACCTAGAATGTAAAAAAATTAACAACAAACAATAAGATAGCCCAATGAATAAACTGGCAAAAGAACTGGACACTACTCAAAAGAATAAGTACAAATAGCTGATAATTATATAAAAAAATGTTAAATATCTTTAACAATTAGGGAATTCCAAATCAAAAATATATTGAGATTTTATTTTAATCCAGTGAAAGTGGCTATCATCAAAAATATAAAAATTAATAATATTGGTGAGGTTGTGGGGGAAAGAACCCTCGTACAATGCTGGAGGTAATATAAAATAGTAAAGTTACTATGGAAATCATGTTGAGGATCTCAAAAACTTACAACTAGAACTTCTAGGAATATACACAAAGGAATTAAAGTTAGCATACCATAGTGATTATTAGAGCTGTTTATTGTACATGTTAATGTATAATAACCAACACTTGAAATCAGCCTATGTGCCCAATAACAGCCATAAAAAAAGAACAAAACCGTGTCATTAAAAGAAAAACAGAAAGATCTGGAGATCACTACACTGAGTGAAATGCAAATACTGCATATTCTTCCTAATATATGGAATCTAAAAATAGATGACAAGAAATTAGAAGGGAGATTATTATCAGACAAAAGGAAGGGAACAAGGGGGAGGTGGAGAGTAAGGGTGGGTAATGTGGAGAGAAATGTGATCAAAATACATTATTCACATTGAATCTGTACAAAGAAAATGTGAAACTAACAGGGGAGGGCAACAAGGTAATGGAAGAAATGTTTCAATATGTTATGTACATGTACAAATTGCCATAATATAACCCATTAGGCTATATAACCAGTATAAAAATGTGGAAAAAATAGAACTAAAAACAAAAACCACTTGCAACTCTGTTCAATATTATTCAACAGAAAACTATAAAATTTTAATGGTTAAGCAATCTACTTTCTGTTTTGTCAAAGCAGTACTTCACTTAAAAGAATGATCTTGAACATTTGTGATTATATTATACATATATGATGTCATATTATGCCCATCTATGTAAAATTGACAGTTTCTTGGCCTATCCATAATGATGTAGTGGCATGTATCAGCACATATGTGTATGTAGTTGACGTACTACTAAACACTATCAAAAATAGATATTATACATTTCCTTTTTTGCTTCTAAATCTATGTCTGTGACATTACAAAAACTTGGACTCATAAATTTTTCAGGACCAACAGAATGACTGAAAAATGTGTGACTTTATTACTTGTAGTGTATGGATAGGATTGTGAATTATGCATCTTCTTGTATGTAGAACACATGCAAACGCTTTCATGGCCTTGTATAGACCATATGTATACTGGTCTATATATATAACTGGGATGACTGAGGTGAACTAGAGTACACATGCCATGTCCACACGAACAACTGCACTCTTCTCTGGTTACTCAGTTCCATATGAGAAAAACATAGAGTTTTCAGATCTTCCATTTGTTTATTTAAGAGTGAATTGAGTTTTAAATATACAGAAATGTGTTTTAAATAGTAAAAAGAAGCTTAGCAGGAGCCGAACTCTTATGTGGGGACAACAGAAAACAAGTTGGTATGTGAGGCTTAAAATAACTTTCAGAGCAGATTTGACTCCACTTAATTGGAAGAATAGACTCCAATACCAATAAAGTTGGAAAATGCAGACCTTCTAGGAAAAAGAAGCATCTGGTCCTAAATAGTATCTGTCATTTTTGTTTGTTTTGTTTTGGTACCGGGGATCAAACTCAGGACCTTGCGCTTGTGAGTCAGATGTGGTGCCACTGACCTAAATCCCCGGCCAAAGATCTGTCATTTTTAATGCTTGTACCTCAAAGGTTTAACCTTCTCCTCAATTTAAAACTTCTCCCAGTGTATTTTCCAGGTTTTATCCACATTTAATTTGATAGCTCTTATTGCAGAACATTCCTAGCAATAACCAATTTTTAATCTAACATTCAAGTCAAGAATAAAAGCATAGATATTAATGTGAGAGGAATTGCTAGGTTTAAAAAGAATCCCATTTTTCCATTATTTCAAACTGATTGGTCAAAATGAATGAATTAATTTAATCTAATGGCTGGGGATTTAGCTCAGTAGTTCCACCGCCTGTCTCACAAGTGCAAGGTCCTGAGTTTGATCCCTGGTACAAAAAAAAAAAGAATTTAATCTGAATGTGATTCTAAAGATGCTGTGTAAAGAAAAATATTTATCTTGACTGAAGGTTAAACCAAAATCAGGTATCCTTCTTCCACTGTTCTATGAGCTTGTCCAAATGGACCAGGGAAATAGAAAAAACATCTTTATCTTAGTAACTTAATCATTTCCAGAGGGAAAGTGGAAAATCAAGTTCCCCAAATAGTCAACAATGCCTATCTTTTATAGGCTTTGCTAGCCCAATATCAGGGTGGGTGGTAATAGAGTTGCGCTCTGCAATCGCATAGGGAAATGAGAAAAAAATATAACCTACATTTTTCTATTTACCATGTTAGTGAAATATTATAATTTTAAATGAAGTTTTAGACCTGTAGAAATTATATTGTCATTTTTCCCTCTAATACAATTTAAGAAAACAACTGTTTTCTATGGCTTCAATACTTCTGAACAGTATTTTGAAATTATAATGGATTGTACTGCTAAGGTGCTACTCAAAATAGATTTCTAATATTTTGAGATAATAAAAGAATATATGAGTATTCTATTAATTATTTACAGAATAACAACTTATAATATAAAGATAAAAGACAGAAATGCTGGAGCTCTTACTTTCCCAATTTAAATTTCAGATACTTTTAAGCACTGTTGGGATGATTTTTGAGAAAAATACAAATTATATTCTCTTCACAAAAGAAGTAATTTTAGGTAAATTATAACTACATTGGCCATTGAAGGTCAATATTATATAAGTATTTGAAATTTTAATTGCTCCTAAAATCACTTACACACATTAACTTAAAAACAATTTTGGTTTGTGAGTACCAAGGAATCTAACAAGAACTATATTTCTATTTAGCTTCACGTCAGCAGATTTTGAAATATATTTGACATTTTAAAATCTTTTCTTAAAAGTAGATTAATTTTAAGGGCTGTGTTCATTGATAAATTAAAAAAAGAATGTGGTTTCTGGTGAAGTTTTGAGAATTTTACTAAATTCTTGATAGAGATGCTTTATCTATAAATTTTCCTTTATACCATAAAATGGAAATATCAGGCACCATTAAACTTGGACATTTTATTATAAGTCTCTCATTTTGTTATAGAATAATATTCTCAGTAAATAATGTCAGCAGAATACCGGTCATTATTTAACTATTCTTTGATATATAAAAGTGAGCTTTTAACAATTATTTGTCTATAATTGAGCAAATAAAGCATTCATAACAAGAAAATGGAAGTCCCTTAATGCAACTACAGCCTTCCATACTTTTTATCTCAACAATACAGTAATATTGAATATAAAAATATCCATGGCAGTCAATATATTAGGTATAAGCCATATGAAGTGCAGTAACATATTCTTTCTATGGAAAAGGAGATGAAACATAAGACAAAATACAACAATCCTGAAAGTCATAATGTACCCCTAAAGGATACATCTTCTGTTTTTAAGCCAAATATATGGAAATCACTAAACATACAAATGTGCATCCCCCTAACTTTCTAAGTTCCCTCATACTCCTAAGGATTACTTTTGTTTATAATAATCCTAATGATATCCAGCATTCCTGGAATTTATTCCTGGAATAAATAGATGATGTTAAGATTTTGCCTTGAAATGAAACATCTAATTGTAAATGGCAAAATGAGACACTCTATTTGTAATATAAATAACCTTTCACATTGATGAATGAAACTAGTTATACCAATGAAATACTTATTTGCATGTTTACTTAAATACTTATTAAATGTGGGAGAATGAGGAGATATTTCAATGATTGATGCTAACTTTTATTTTGCAATGATTATATCATTGGTGACCTGGTGTTTATAATGAAAATGTAACTACTGACAAAGGCTAGATAATTTATTCTAAAACTATGACTTCATTACTACAAACAAAAGATGGGAAATTTTAATTCATGATAATCAAACTATTACAATAAAATCTCTTCATCTCACACGTAAGACAATTATTTCATCAAATTTCCCAAATCTTTACCTTTAATTAGTGGCAGAATGACAATGAACAAAAATAAAACAACTTGAGCATTTGAAATCAGTTTCTTAAAAATGAAAGCAGTTCATCTCTTTCTCTATGCATGACTTCTCTAGCTTCAACTCTTTGTTAAGCTGAAAACATTAAAAACTATCTCCTTTTTGTTTATTTTTTACCTTGAAAGGCACTGGTTCTTCAGCAAGAGGGCTAACAGGAAGCGAAGTGGTGCTGCTGGCTGGGCTCATGTCTGAACTCTGAAAGGAAAGCACAGTTGCATAAAAGAAGGTTCTTTTTTAGTCACTTTTATTATTCCTAACTCAGAATATAAATCATAGCATGATTATACAATGAATTCTTCCTTATATAGAAATAATTATCTGGGAAATTAGACTGTCATGTCTATTCATATTTTAAGGGCATTTCACTAAATATATGGGCTGGTTTTTGTATAAATATAATGTCTTTGCTTAATTTATATTTTTACCTTTTCTGTGGAAAACTACACTTATATGATATTATATTATATTGCTGTCTCAATCTTTTAAGCTGATTTTCAAAGATGTATTAAACATCATTTTCTTTCTACAGGGAATTAAATAATTGCATCTAATTTTTTCATTATGTAAATATTACCTGTCATTAGTAAACAATTAAAAACTGAAGAAATATTAAGTTTTTAAAATTCCTATACTCATAACAAACATTGTAAAATTTTTCTTGCATTTTGCTAAACAAAAATTTACACAAATACAATAAAGATTGGAATGTTGCTAATGCTATTCTAATCATTTGAAAATATAACCAATTAAAACTTCTCAAGTAAGACATAAGGGTTCACTTTTAATGTTTTTGACTAAAAGCAAGCAAAAGCTACTGATAATAGGTGATAGGAGAAGATATTTCATTATATTCTAAATCATTTTCTCAAAAAAGTTCCTTCACTTTTGATAAATAACTGAAGAACAATGTGGATCTACAATTTTCAGCTTTGCTTGCAAATCTACATACACAGAAAAATCAGAAAAAATTGCAATAAAAATTAAATTAAAAGAATGATTTAATCTTGATTAAGATAAAGTATTAAGTAGACAAGTTTGAGTGACTTAAGTTCAAAGAAAGGAACATATTCAACTGTAGATGTTGAGCAGATGCTACCACAGCTCCAAGGACAAATAGTTTCTTTATATTCAAATTTTAATTAATTTAATTAAATAGACTCATTTTAAATATCCACTAAGATGGGATCACTTCTGATTTCCTTGTCTAGAGATCAAGGATAAGGACTAAAGATACAAGAACCAAGATATTTACTATAGTTTTTTTTTTTCTTTTTTTAAACTAACACTGTAAAAACAAGAGCTTATTTAATATATCTAATAGAGGTCAAGTGCAAAACAGTTTTATTTTGGCCAGTAATTTCTTGCAATAACTACTTTGTATCTTGTTAATTTCAATTAAACACATATAGTTCAGAACCATAATTGTTTTTGTTCAATAATAATTAACATTTGATCCAACCAGACTAACCTAATGCTGTCATTAGGTTGACTGACCACCTTGGTGAAATGCTATTTAATTAGGTAACAGGGTTTGCCCAAAACTTCAGGTAGGCAGAATCTAAGGGTAAATTTGTAGGACAGCATCCATAGAAGTAGTCAACCTAAATAACAAAAGTGATTAATCATGCATGGACACACCTTTTTAATGCACATTAAACATACTTACTTATCTTGTGTCTAACAAAATTAGAAAGTAAAAGGTCAATTAGGTAATAGATTATTAAAAATATTTTATTGTTTCTGCTTCCATCCATCTTACTTTAATGTAAAATTAAAATATACTCAGAAAGCCTTTTATTACTTTTTCACATTGCTAAAATAATTAAATCAGAACAGAAACAAAACTACTCAACAAAGGATCGCATTTCAATAATTTTATTGAAAGGTGTATCTCTTAGTACCAAACATACAGGTAATTGGTTAGTTTACCTCTGCCAACTCAAAATTAATACTGATATTTTCAAATAATGAAATATATCACCCTTATGGTAAAACTGAAGGCATTCACAAAACATGGTTTACAAAAAATTAAAGGTAGAATATACTGTGGTTCTTTGGTTTATTTTTCAATGCTTAGTTATTTGTAACATGATGTCAAAATTGGTTACATCCATTCTGGATAGACTCAGGCTTCAGGCTGCATTGTTTATAACACTAACAATATATGTACATTTCCTTACATTGATTGGCTCATATGGAGAATTCTAAACACTTCCTCAGCAATCTCATAATTATGGCGGTGCCTCCTTACTTTTCTTAAGACACATTATGGAAATTTGTGAAAGTATATTCTATTCCTTAAAAAAAACAAAACAAAACTGGAAGCAATGCCTGTTTTATAGAAACAGTCCATAGTAAAACCCGCAGTACTTTATCTAGCCAGAACTTAAGGTAATGCAAATTTTCAGAGTGGTAATTGATTTTGACTTAACTATGTAATATAACAGAACATATTTTTTTAAATGGAACTAGATAACACTGAGGAAATAGATTCTATATAGAAGTTTTTACAATCAATACAAATGTCACCTGTTTTTTGGAAGAAACATTAAAGATAGCTCAATGAATATGCCAAACTTAGTAGGTCTGTATTTCGGCTTAATACAAAATGTTTTTAAATTTAAATGTAATTCCCATATAGCGGTAACACTCTCATCTCTGAACTATCCATTACTTGCATTATAGGTGCCAAGAAACCATTACATTATCTAGAACATAGCCTTTATTATACCTTTACAAAGTGCATGTGTGAAATGCTGGTTTTGATGTAAACCTCATAATTTAAAATTTAACATTTAAATTAAGTAGGTTACCTTTTTCCAAATCACCTAAATATAATATATTGATGCAGTGTAGAAAGTCAAATTAATGTTAGAAATGAAGATTCACAGTTCACCTTTTCAGGCTTGTATTAAGTGTTTCACATTTATGTCTTTAGCTTTACAGATTAATTCAAATCTAAACAATCTTACTGCAGCATTATATTAATTAGCCAGTTTTCCAAAGATGGAGAACATCATACTAATCTAGTTGTGATATTTTGAGGGTTCATAATTTATTTTGTTTTTTGGTTTTCTGGGGGTTTTTTGGTACCAGGGATCGAACTCAGGCCCTTGAACTTTAGAGGGAGGTGGAAGCAACAGTGAGCTAAACCCCTGGCCCAAGGGTTCATAATTTAAATCAATTATAACATTATGGAATCCATAGTTCAGGGTTGCAGAGAAAGACTTCAAAGAAATTTTTTTGTTCTACAATAACATTATTTATGTAAAGAACAAAAATCCCCAACTTATCAAAAGTTTATCTAAATACTACTAGCTGTTAAAAATAAATTTTTCATGCCCAAGTTTCATAATCATATGTAGATGTATTAAATATTAACATTTAGTTTTCAGTAGGAAAAGATAACTCATTACTGTAAGTTAATAAATTTAGATAGCAAGAACATATAGAATATATGCAGTGACTGAATTTATGTTTTATATGAATATAATTACTTTCTATTATTCCAATTGCAACAGCAGTACGTTGAGACATACTGGCAATTTTCAGAAACCCAAAAGCAATCATCTGTTTGTATTACTTTTTCTTTAGGTGTAACATTCAAGTTCATAATGATTCTGCTTATAAGCTAACAGTCTCAAATTAGTTCATATATGGATCAAACTTTTGGTCCTATTATAACTTTAAATGAGCTGGAACTTAGGGCTACAGTTAGCAAAATGTGCAATTAAAAAAGCATTACTTAAGCACTACCTTAAAATTCAGATTGTTAAAGAGGACATTGCTTTCTAAGCTGCTAATTTAATGAAATAGTTAACATATATATCAGAGAATGGAAATTCCTAAGGTTGTTTTTTTTTAATTTTTTAAGTTTTTTTGAGACAGGGTCTCGCTATGCAATTTAGGCTGAACTTGACTCACTATGTAGCCCAGGCTGGCCTGAAACTCATGAGGATCCTCCTGCCTCAGCCTCCCAAGTGCTAGGATTACAGGCATGTGCCACCATGCCCAGCCCTTAGGGTATTATACCTTATATATAGCAAATGCCTTCAAATATTAGATTGAATGACTAGATTGGTGATACCAGTTTTTTCCTTTTGCTATTCCAAGTCCAGTTGGTTTATTTTGAAGATAATATTTCAATACTTCATTGTAGAAGAAAATTATACAATTTTCTCTATACAGAGAATAACAACCAAAATTACCAATTAAGAAACTGTTTCAGGAATTGTTGGAAGCTGAGTTATTCTATAGTAACTATGCTTCAGCTGCCATGCAGTACACTCAGAAACAATCCACTTCAACTTCTGAACATTTGGTTTGGAACATTTGTTTGATAAAATATTCAGTTAAGCACTTGGATACAAGCTCTTGCCAGAAGGTCAGATCTCTGCCATTTATCTTGGAATGTTTCTGAAGACATTCTACTCCTTCTGTTAACTCTACACACTTATTTGCTTGGATCTCTCCAATGCAGTGATAGATAAGACCAACACAGAAGGCTTTGCTTTAGAAAATAGGATCCCATAGTGACATGCCTTAAGCTGAGCTTCTAGTCTTTCAAAAATTAGGCTATTTTTCTTAGCATCCAAAAAAATGAAATATCTAGGAATCATTCTAACAAAGGAAGCAAAAGACCTCTACACTAGTACTCTAAAAAGGAGATCAAGGAGGATATAAGAAAATGGAAAGATATCCCTTGTACCTGGGTAGGAAGAACCAATATAGTGAAAATGGCCATACTTCCAAAACTGCTATATAGATTTAATGCAATGCCGATTGAAATTCCAATAATATATTTCACAGAACTAGAGAAAACAATCCAAATATTCACTTGGAATCAGAACAGCCCTAGAATAGCAAAAGCAATTCTAGGCATCAGACACATGGCAGGGGGTATCACAACCTCCAACTTGAAACTATACCACAAAGCTAGTGTGATAAAAACAGCATGGAACTGGCAAAGAAACAGACCCGAGGATCAATGAAATACATTAGAAGAAGCAGAAATAACTCCAGACATATTCAACCACCTCATCTTTGACAAAGGAGTCAACCACCCTCACTGGAGGAAAGATAGCCT